AAAAAAAAAAAAAAAAAAATGATGCTGTCCTGGTACATGAGGTCGTCCTCCTCGCCATCTCCGGGCATTTCGTCCTGGACAGCGATTAGGGTGCGATTCGTTTTAATCGGGCTTGGGTTTAGGCTGACGGTTACCATAACAAGGAGAGCATATTATTACCTGTACAAACAGGGGTACTTGTTTCGACAACTTACATAAAGCACCAAAGAAAAACCTGAGTCAGATAAAGCCACATGAAATCCCCTGATGATGCCTTACAAAGGCCCTTATGGAAACTCCTCTAAAACCGTGCTTTAAAAAAAGCAGCCTTCCTTCACAAGAACCCTGTTTTGGAGCTGGGGGATCAGAGTTTCAGGTTTATGGTCTAGGGTTTAGGGCTTAGGGTCTAAATGTTTAGGGTTCAGGGTTCAGGGTTTAGGGCTCAGAGTTTAGGGTTTAGGGTTTAGGGTTGCTGATGGTTTAAGACACATCGTCTTCTCACTCGTCTACAACTTGTTACACCCAGGGTTACTAGCAGCGCTAATGGCGAACATCAGGGTGGAAAATGAAACAGTACTTGTCTGCAGCCTTTCGTGAATCAGGACTTGGAACATCAAAACCTAAACCCTAAAACCTAAACCCTAAACCCTAAACCCTAAACCATGAAGTTTGTGGACACAGCCAGCCCTGTGCACACAAACTCCGGACTCTTAGGATCGAAGTTTTGGCGTCATTATCCCAAGCAACTGCAGCTGCAAAGCCTGCGGCATACACTCTGCAACTCATCCTCCCCGGCCCGCAAAATCCTAACATCTAGGCAGCAATCGTAGTCTAAGTCCGAATAAGGAAACCCTCTGCTTGAAAATTCAAATCCAACAAGGAAACCCTAGACCCCTACACCCCTAAACCCCTAAAAACCCTAAACCCAAGAGTACCCTTATAGATCCTTCTTCGGAACCCTTATCGTTCCGAACCCCAAAACCCTAAACCCTTCAAGGACCCTAGACCCTAAAACCCTAAACCCTAAACCCTACATCCTCAATCCCGAAACCCTAAACCCTAAAACCAATCCTCAATCTCTAAACCCTAAACCGTTTAAGGAAACTGCAAGCTCCTCGCCGACGGAGTGGATCTCTGCATCGCTGTCCACGTCCGCTTCGTCGGCAAGGCCCTTTTACGAGCTTAGGGTTCAGGGTTTAGGGCGCAGGGTTTAGGGTTCAGGGATCAGGGTTCAGGGTTAAGGGTTTAGGGTTCAGGGTTTAGGGTTTAGGGGTCAGGGTTTGAGCTGCAGCTTACCCCCAAACCCTGT